AAACCAATCAACACCGTTCTTACACACATAAAGCACCTTCTACACCCCCCCCCCCCAAATAACTTACTGAACCAATCAACACCGTTCTACACACATAAAGCACCTTCTACAACCCCCCCCCCCCAAATAACTTACTGAACCAATCAACACCGTTCTACACACATAAAGCTCCTTCTACAACCCCCCTCCAATAACCAATCAACACCGTTCTACACACATGCAGTAGCGGGGAATATGTTCACATATATTTTACATTAAAACAATCAAAATATATATCAAAATGTAAAATGAATAATAGCATCATGGGTATTTTCTAGTTAATAGCTCACAAACTCCGAAATGTTGAGTGGCATGATCACTTTGAAATCACCTTTCAATCAGCCTTCAACTTGAACATAAACTTCTAAAATGTATAACACACATAACAAACTTGCTAAATTTGTTGATGAATTTTTACAAAACTTATATTTTATCTGTCAGTGTATTGTAGTATGTCACTTTTATGGAATCTACCTTAGATGAAAGCATTGCAAATTTTGTTTTGTGCTGTTACATATCCATAGCCATTCATAATTTAGTTGAAATTATATACAAAAGGTGTTTTCTTTAATGGAAAGTCAGTGTATGGGCATTTTATTTTTGGGGGTGTACACTGGTTCATTAGTGAATGACTTATTTTTCTGTTCATGGTATTATCATGCTGAAGATTGCCTTTAGCAGGGTGAATCCAGAGACCAGTTGATTGTTGTCATGGAAACCATTTGCGAAGGTTGTTGTTCAAATTCACATTGTGTGGGTGGTACGCAACTCCTTTTGTACAGAAAGAACAATTGGTCAATGACGGGCGGGGACAATGATCTGTAGTGTATCGCACTTGATATATATTAGTATCATAGAAAACTACAGGTTGCATTCAGTCATGGCAATGGCGCATACAGGCACATTTTAGTTTAGTTTAGTTAATTTTTTATCTGTCTTCAATGCAAATTTAGAAGAAACACAAACTCTACAAATATTCCCTGAAAAGACCCAATAAAAGAAGCATTTATACATCATACAAAAATTCACCAATAAATATTTTACGTTTTGCTAAACGGAAATACTATACCAACATTTATCGAAGTCAAATCTCAATAAGACATGAAAACTAATTATTGATGTATTACACGGTTTTCAAATAATCAAACGTTCAAACCTGCTATTGGACAAGAAATAGTGGACATCATTAAAAAGGTAAACATGTGATGGCATAGAAAGAATTACTACTAAAATAATAAAACTAATTTATTCGATTAAACCTCTTAAACACATTTTCAATCGGACAAGTCCCTGATTCAATGATCAATATTCAGGTTAATGGAATGGCATATTCTGAACAAATATCGTCCAATATTATGTATTTTGACAATATTAGACCGTGGAATTTATAAAAGCACTTCATATTCATTACTAAACATGAAGTTCTTCCCCAAACCATCACATGTTTTGTCCAAACCAATCAACCTACATGGCCTTGGTATATCTCATTGAATTCATAAGAAATGAATGTAGAACGTTGTCAACGATTCATATTTATGTGCTGTTGCAGCCGGTTTCTTTTTGCCACATCGACGTGAAAATTATCTGTTCTTGGGATGAAATTACTGTTTTTCGAATCCTTCTTTGCCGTTCATGTGCACGATGACTCATAATGAGTAACATAACAACAAATGAATATGATCTTAATAAACTAATTATTATTGTCATCATATGCGCATCGGCTGCCATCATGTTTGGATCAAACAACAGCACGACGAATGAGGGCGTGATTTCGACACGAGTCGAGTGGGTCCCAATGGGTTCCCGACTAACGTGAATGCAATTCCTGTAATACTTCCCTAAACTTGAAAGATCACAAATTTCGGCACATACCGAGACACTGGGTTTGCCGTGACAATTTTTTGGATCCAGTTTTACCAGCGATTAAACTTGAAGATCGTGGCATAGTGATGCTAAACATTTTATTGTATTAACACTAAAATAACTGACCAGTAATATGAAAAAGACATGCATTAAAATTGTTGAAACATACAATTTTTCAGATAAGCAATTTCAAACAAAGTAAATACTAGGACTACAATGCATCTGTTTAAAATGATGTTAAAATCGACGCCTTCTGTGGTTAAAATATCAGTAGTCGCTCTGCGTTTTTATTTGTTATCTTTGTTTGAACCTGAAACTGCTCTTTCCTGAAGAAGAGAGACTCAAAGAAACTAATACGATAATCTCTGAGCAGTTTACACCTAATGTGAGGGAAATGAGAAAAAGAAGATGGTAAACGAGCCTTTAATAACTATTACTAGTTAAATATTGACAGTACTATGTACGTGTATGGCTAAGCATTAAATGATACTAGGCCAATTTGTTTTGACAACATCGAGAAACATAGCCATGGCCTTTAGAACCGTAATAACAATGACCACAGCCTTTACCGAGTACATAAGACTACAATAATAATATACTACATTTATCTGCTGGGACGTTAAAGCACTAACTAACACATTGCATCATCCAGACTTACACGCCATGGCATCACAGAATCATGAACTAGTAATTCTATACAATTCGATTTACCAAATTACTATGTTTCCATTAATGTCGCTAGAAAGAAAACAATTCACTTAGGTACACCTTCTGGTGGAATTTCCAAGCTCGTAAATAATACCATAAGTAACGTCATCCATCTGCCAAGTGTCAGCGAGGATATTCTGTAGATACAAATTAGTTTGAATTCTAGTTACGTAATCAGGAAATGATGTTATATTTCAGGTGCTTGAAGTTGAATTGACTCACTATACTACTGGATGTAATAACTGTCCAGCCATGGTAGGTGAGATGTCAATGCTCGTATTTATGGAACAGTTGGTAATTATCAGAGGCAACATATTAATAACCTCATATTATTGGCAAGATTGTTTGCTTTATTATACTTAAACGATTATCATGATCACATTCTACTGATGCATATCATCCCATTGCAGAGACACGATCTGGATTCAATAAGAAGCGTAGTACAATTGATAACATTTGAATACTGTAACAACGCGATGTTTGATATAAATAGCAAAGTATAAGTTATAAAATCAATGTATAGCAATGTAAAGTCGTGTATTAAGAAACCTGTCGGTATATAAATTGTACTTATGGTGTACAGCAAGACTCTACATTGTCCTCTCTTTTATACTGGTTTAGTGAATTATACAACGGGATATAAAGTCAATACAAACAAGTCTAAAATTATAGTGTTTAGAAACGGAGGTAGACTTAAATCAAATGAACATTGGTATATTGATTGGTAAAGGTAGTCTGTGTAATTGGGTATAACACTTCACCATCAGTTTTATGGACACACGCTCAGCATGTTCTGGCAAGTCATGTCAGTAAAGCCGTGCATGGTGTAAAAAAAGATATTAAGCCAATTATTTAAAATTAATATTGATCGGTAGATTTTTGCGTCAAAATCACACCAATAATGAATTATGGTTGTGAAACTTGGGGATTTCATGTTTGAGCAAACGCCATCATACGACCGAAATATTATAGTGTTCTCCTTCACATGGAGTAGAGATTATTTATTTAAGTGTTAGTAAATGTAACCTTGGTTATATGTATCGATTCGACATTACCGATACATTATAACGAATAATTACTTGCCGATTTTGATTTACTCACATTTTTTTTCAAATGATTAAGCATTGATCTACGATCCAAACATCGTTTTT